CAATCGCCCCAGTGCCCTGAAGTCCCTTGCAAAGACAGAAGTGCTTTGAAACATGGGCTGTGCTGGATGCAACACAGGTGAAACACAGCAGGGAGATAAAGAGGCTAAACTTTATTCCTGGATGCCCATCCCCTGGCATGCCAAAAGACTACAGACGTCTGTATGTTTTGACTCAGGCAGGCGAGCTCATAGTTAGCAGAGATCTCTTGTCGCAGGAATGGCTGAGATCCCAAGAAACACATGTGAGATTTTTCACAGTCTTTTTTTGCTAGCCTCTGGGCAGCTGGTAGAAGAGGATATTTCTGATTTGCTTTATGGGATTTTGGATGCACAAGAGAACCACAACACATCAAAGAGGAATGAATGCTGTAATTCTCCTGAAAGGTCGGGGCTTTTTACAGAGCTCTTTATTGCTGTTAAGCTCTTTAGGGAATGCTGTATTGTGTCTACCACGGACTTGGTGGTGGTAGTATGACATGCAATGCCCATCCATCCCTATTACTATTTCAGCCTCTGGGTAATGATCCAGATGCGCAAGGGCTGTTAAGTGCCTGATTTCATTTGAAACCATTGGGAATTTGGCATCTAAATCTTTAAATACTCTGCATAAAAGACTGCCCTGTAAAAGCTGAGTTTTATATGCTTTACCTTAGCAGTCCCTGTGTGTATTTAATGATGCATGGAGTTACTCACATTGCCCTTAGAGGCTTCCCTATTGTGTCATGTGTGGCTGTTCTCATCAGAGAAAGGGCAGGTTGGGGAAGGAATAGGACTATTGTAATCCCTATTTGTGATCACTAAGAGGCAACCCAAGCAGATACCCTGAGCAGAGGGATAGTGCAGGTCATGGGGCAAGAGACCTGGCCGCAATCTCCAGAAACGCAGGGAACTGAGGGAGGCTTCAGCAGCAATGAGAACTGGCAGGTGGAAGGTGCCCACCAAAACTGTGCCATTTGGAAGAGTATTTCTGACCATAGCTGAGTTTTTGGTACTGATTTTCAACATCGTGCCCTGAGCAGAAGTGGGTGACTTTAAATAGGACAGAAGTTTAGCAAGTGCTGCACCCTGAGGAAAAGCAAGATGTGTAGACAATATGGATTAAAAAAAAAACACAAAAAGTCACTGAAAAAATAAGCTAGTTTGTGGATGATTTAGCCCCTTTCCACTTTTTGGAAGCTGTGTCCTTGATAAAGGACCAGACCCTGCTTTGGAGCTGGTATAAAATGAAGAAGGACCACTGAAAGCTCTGGATAAGGCAATAGACACTACCAAATAAAGAGAAGTATCCAATCTCAGGTGGCTTTTATGGGGAGTGAATAATACACTGACAGTAAAGAGAATTCAGACTACTACAAGGTAAGTTTACAGCAGAAAGAGAGAACTTCCACTGAGACCTGTTTAGGAACTTAAAAATCTAAGCAAAAAATCTTAGAGGTTTTATACTGACCTCAAATGAGCAACTGCACTGAGAAAGATGTTAAGACATTTCTGTATATGGCAAAAATACTGTTGATAGCAAAAGAAAGGGAGGTGTGAAGCTGTAGCTTATGGAACAAAGAAACTAAAATAAGCTATGCACTGAGCCTGCATTTTTCCTCCTGTTTCTTTGAAATAGTCTTGGCAAAGGACAGTACTGTTAACAGCTCTGTATATGTGAGACGCATTCTCATTACAAACAGCTTAGGTGGCATAGGAAGATCTGAAAGCATGTTGTGGGATGGTGGGCATGAGTTTTTGGGGTTTGCAGGGAAGTGTAGACTTTTGAGGCATAAAATATTTTCTCCAGATGAGGGACTGGTGGAAAACCATGGCAGAAATGTGAACTCGCTAGCCTGGCTGAGAAGTCAGAGTCTAATCCATGTGTGCTAATGCATCATTTAACAGAGACCTGCCAAGAAGATGGTGTTGGCTGTCAGGTGCCTTTGTCAGTGATTTGCAGGTGAATAAGGAAATAGATGAGGCAGAAGGAAAACACAGTACTGGGAAGGCTCACCATGTTTATGGCCATGTCTAGAATGGGAAACAATGACCAGGACAACAGTCTTACATCCTGTGGGGTAGTGCCACAGTATTGGTGGCCCTCATCACAACCACTTGGAAGAAAAATCCTCTTCAAAGGAATAGAGCTCCCAGCGAAATGGCAATGAGTCACCTGTATTGCTTGGGAAAGCCTCAGAGAGGTCACATACCCAGCAATGGCAATTGCTGTGCCCCAAGGTGATCAAGAGCCTGAGTTAATGGACCAACTGCAGCTGACAGCGTTGTGCTGATGTTCTAGGTGAGACCTGCAGGTCCCTGCACTAGCCGACTGAACACTGCCCATTTGTAGATTCCAGATACATAATTTTATTTCAGACACAGGACTCAGCTGCCCAAGCAGAAGTGAATGCTATGGGATACCTGAGGGTAGGGCCATCGGGACAGTGCAGGACTTGCAGGAGAACCACAGTCTTGTGCAGCAGGAGCTAGAGGTGCGGTGACACAGCATCATGCCTACCATGGAATTAGGCACTGGCCTATTGGCAACTGAGTCCTTCCCTTGGGGGACTTTGGTGCTGAATTAAGATGCATGCATGCATTAAAGTGTCTTCATATGGAGGTGGTGTCTTGGCTCCTGTTATATCCCTGGAGATCTAGGCAACATGGAGACCAGGGTCACTCAGCTGGTACGTCTCTGCTTCCATGCGCTAAATAGCTCTCCATGGACTCCACTGCCCAGAACAGGAACTGGGACACTCAGTGCTCCTAGGGACAACTATACTCATCTCTGGATAGATCCCTGTATTGCAGTGATGTTGACTGTTCAATTTTTATTACCATTGGATTGGTCAGGGAAACAGGTTAGGGGAAACATATGTGTTGCAAGAGGCAAATGCTTGCACACTCAGTGCAAGAGCCAGTTTGAAGCATTGGTTATGTTGTGTTCCTGTGAAATGGAGATGACCGTCCTATCGTCAGACCCCGGGGAAGCAGAGTACTCTAGGATGCTCTAGCTTGGACCAACCATAAATCCTGCCGTTCTGAATGGTAACACCAGTGAGTGCCAGGAAAAGCCATTCACTAGACTTGATGAATTTATAGTAGCCTTCCAGCTGGAGGGGCAATAGGCATATGAGTGAGGAGACATGGAGCAGTAACAACAGTTATTGCCGTTCATGCTGCAGGTTTTGTTGTTTTCCTAGGATAATTTTTCGTATTCGCATTGCTTAGTTGGTACAGTGTAATCTAAAACATTTATCCACTGCTGTGGACAGAATTTTCTGGCATCCTTAGCCTCACATACCTTTAAACATGGCTCTTAAATCATCCTAGTGACTTTATACTGGGGTGAATTTCAACCTGGATGCCTGAGATGGATTCTTTTTCTGTCCTTGGAAGCATCAGCATTTAAGTTTCTGAGTGGATGGACTGATAGTGGGAATTAGGACGGCAAGCCCTGATTTCACAACCTGCCAGGAAGAAAAATCAAACAAGAGTAGTATAGCATCATAGTCTGGTTCTCTGGTTCCGCTTTTCATCTTGGCTGTTCTTTGGGGAGAAAGAGCAGAACAGCAGAGTTTGCTGGAAAGCATGTTCATTTTCACAGCTTTTTTGTATGCTCATCCGCAGTTTAGGGGATTTACTGATCCAGATGAAGGCGGAACATATTCTTAACCTCTCCCCAAGCCCAGGCAATGTGTATGAAAACATATACACCCACATGTATTTTTTTATTTTAGCTGAAATAGTGAGAGGAGACTTTACTGCTTGACTTCATTGTCTCTTCCCTGAGAAGGTTCAGACTTTTTCAGAAATAAATGAGTAGTTACTAGGGACAGGTGGGTTGGAATACTTTCTTTCCCACTCCATTGACATGTAAAATCCTTGTAGTGGATAGTTCTGGAAACATCCCTCTTATCCTTTACTCCTAAGCACATGCCCAATGCCCAAAAGCTTTCATAGAAAACAAAGATTTCCTGCTTTCTAAGTCATCTTAGGAGTGTTGCATTATGATGTCAAACACGAAAAGAAAACCACAGTAAAGAATTTGTTGCTAGCAAAATGTTTGTATTAAAATACAAAGAAAACTTTCCTGTTGGGAACAGTAATTAATAGACTCTTTTTTGTATTGGTACTAACAGCACTACAAGTTCCATTTTTCAAACAGACCACAATGTTCTTGAGGAATAAATTCCACCACTGTCATTCTGAACCTCAGCCTAAAAATCAAAGAGGTCAAAGACAATTGTACTGTGCATCCTAGCAATATTCCAGCATCATTACACTGGCTTACTGCAGCATGTCCCATCAGGTGTGGGTTATATCTGGACACTGCTTGGTGACGGCAAGTTCACAGGGCTTCCTATTGTGTTTGAGAAGGCAATGATTGCATTGGCACCTTTGGAGTTCTTGTTCATACCCAGGATGTCCACACTGGTTTGCTCTGGCTCAGTTTTCCTGAAGATGTTTTTCATGGTTGACTGAAAGTTATTGGTGACAAAGCAGTAGACAATGGGGTCCATGCAGCTGTTGAGGCTACTCAGAGTCACTGTCACATGGTAGACGAGGAGGCTGACATCATGGGGCATGTCTGGGTTCATGGAGATTGCTACCTGTCGCACGTGAAAAGGAGTGAAGCAGATCATGAAGATGATGAGGACGGTGATAAGGAGTTGCACAGCCCTCATTCTCCTCTCCCGACTCTGGTGCATAAGGCTGGGCTTGGACAGAGCACACATAATCCGGGTGGTGAAGAAGATTATTATGATGAGGGGGAAGAAATACTCGCAGACCATCAGGACCAGAATCTTGGAGAGGCAGCATGCAGCAAACTGTATTGCCATCGTCAGGATGGAGAAAGTCACCACAGTGGCAAAGATCCAAATGAAGACGCAGATCCCCTTGGCACAGGTGGGGTTCCTCCATTTACGTGAGGCCTCCGCCTGTACAATTGCCAGATAGCGGTCAACGCAGATACACGTCAAGAAGAGGATGCTGCAGTACATGTTGACAAAGTAGCCAAAGATATGAACCAAAGAACAATTCAGGCAGTCCCCTGCACTATAGAACATGATGATCCGGACAGGCAAGGAAAAGCCCACCAAGAGATCAGTAACAATCAAATTGATGGTGTAAATAACAGAGGTGGTTTTTGTCTTGGTACGGAAGCAGAAGACATATAGCGCCAAGCTGTTCAGCACAACACCTACCAGGAAAATGATGGCATTGACTACCATCAAGGCAATCCACAGGTTGTAAAATTCTGTATACAGTTCTTTGTCGGGGTGGATGAACTTGGAGAACAAGTAGATGCTGGAGTTGGGTTGCTGGGTGGAGTTGATAGAGTCAAGGGCTGGCAACTGAGTGGAGGAGGTCGGCATGGTCACTGACTTCCCAGAGATCTGGAAGAAAAGAAATAGACATATATTGATGGGTATGTCAGCATTCCTTAAGGTTCAAAATGTTGTCACCTAAGAACATTTTAACCAAAATATTTGTACATCTTCAGTAGTTACATATATTGCTGTACTCTCTAAGCATTTCATCTATCAATATGGGATTACCAATAATAGCTAGAAAAATGCCTGGGTTTATAATTACTGTCTTCCAGTGGTTCCAGATGCATGTTTTGGAGAAGACACACAATCCCCACTTCAAATTTCTTTTCCTCTGCCCCGTGCAAAAATGGTTTTAAGGCCTGAGCAGGAACAGAGAAGTGAACTATGCTGAGGGGAGCAAAGGAGAAGGGAAAGTCGGGGGAAGTACACATGGTCATGTTTTAGCCAGCCACGTGGCAAATGGCCCAGAGAAATAGGCAGGGTTGCTGAGTCCAAGCAGGGTGTGTTGATGCTCATGGAGGGCACAGGCCATTTGACGCTGTGACAGGGAGGGTCAGGCCAATATGCGGCTCCTACCGAGTCTTGTTTCCTGAACGTGGTCTTATTCTTTTGAGTCCTTCCTCCATTGGAGCAGCTTCTTCCCGACTGGAGGCTCTTCCTGCCCTGCCATGGGAGTAGGATAGTGCTGGCAGCCAGAAGACATTTGCTCAACCTATTGGCACAACCCCAGCATCTGACTCCTAAAATATCACATCCCTTCCCTTGGCTGGGTGATCCCATTAGAGAGTTACATGCAGCAGCATTTTCAGGAATTGTAAGATTTTCCTAAAATCAAAGGATGGGTGAATTTTCCAGGAAAGCACAAACAGGTTGTGTGGCATCTTCTAGAGATCTGCACTCACAGCAACAGCAGCCGGGAGATTTCAAACCAAGGGCGTCAGCCGCTACTCCTGCCAGGGTTTGACAGTTTAATTTGCAAATCATTCCTGACTTACACACTATTTTAAACTGATTTGTATATTAAAAAGATAAAAAAAAAAGCCCAATATATACAGAGACTTGGCTGCTTTCAATAAAAATAAATCGTTGAAAAATGTCTGGAATATCTCAAAGTGGCTGAGCAGGACTTTGAGGTTAAAAAAATCAGCTTGAATCAGCAGAGAATGATGCTGAAAGACTTGAGTTATGAGGGTTTGAAATCCCTGCTACCAAAGAGCCAAGTGTGGAAGGGCTAGGAGACAATAAACTGCAAACACATCTTCCAGTGCTCACAGGAACCGCAGTGTGCTTGGGCTGCATGTCTCAATGAGGAAGGCTTGAATTGCTAAGGAGGTCTGGATATCCATCTCGCCCAAGCCCCATCCTCTGGCAGCTGGCTTTCTGCCTGCATTAATCCTTTTTGCTGCTTATGGGGATTGGGTGGATGGACTGAAGGTGTCACATTGCCTGTGAGATGCTCCAAGCTGTTGGTGGCCATGTAGAAAGCAGAGGCGGTCAGAAGCCTTCCAGTGAAAAGTGGATCCTCAGGAGAGTTCCTGCTGGCCAAAAGCAAATGTTTTGCAGGGACAGTCCTAACTGGGTCCAGAGAGCATCACAGGAGCTCTGAGCCTGCCTGACAAGTGCCAAAGCCTTCGCCTGCGTGGCCACTAAAAGCTTGCTTGTTGGACTAATGAACTACAAATCTCTGCTAGCCGTAACTCTCAAGCTTTTGAACTCCTCCACACCTCCTGACAAAGACAGAAGGCTTCCAGCTCTCTGGGATAAAGATCTGGGGAACTGAGATTTAGAAGAAGAGATTCTCAAGTCTCTGTGCATTTGCTGGACACATCACTCCTGATGTGTCTCATCAGTGCTGAGCAGAGGGGAAGGATCACCTCCCTCAGCCTGCTGGCAATGCTCCTCCCAAGGCAACCCAGGAGGCTGTTGGCCTTCTTTCTCACAAGGGTGCGTTGCTGTCTCAAGTGCAACTTGGCACCCACCAGGACCCCCAAGTCCTCTGCAAAGCCACTTTCCAGCTGTTTGGCCTCAGACTGTACTGGTGCATTCCTCCCATCCTGGTGAAGCCTCTGCTGGACCCTCTCCTGTCTTTCAACATTCCCCTGAACAGAGCTCTCCCAAACTGGACACCTCACCAGTTTTGATGGAGGTAATAACTCCCCTCCATTTGCTGACCATGAACCTTCTAATGTGGCACACTATGTACTTTGCCTTGTCTGCAGTGAGTGCACACTGTTTGCTTGTTTTTTTTTCAGCCTAAGATCCACCATAACATCCATGTCCTTTTCAGTAGAGGAGTTCCCAGCCTGTAGTGGTGAATAGGGTCATAGGATATGGCCAGGCAGGCTTCTGTGGAGGACTGAGCGACCAAAGTGTTAGGTGCTTTCCTGCCTCTTCTCATTTGGAGAAGGCTGGGAATGAAGTATGTTTGGTAAATGGTCAACATTCAAGATCAAGAGTCCTCATGGGATGCTACAGTCTAGTCGTGGTTACTCTGTATGGTTCATTCAAGCCAGGTGAGCACAAGGCAGAGCATTTGTTGGGCAAAAGCAGAGATTAGGACTGAGAATTTAGAAGACTTGGTGTGAAGTTCCCTCTGGAAATTCTTGGAGAAGTGGCTTTGCCATCATGATGGAGCTTAGGTCTGTTGGCCTGGAGTCTGGTGATTGCTCTAGTTTCTTCTTAGCTCTCATCTATGGAAGTGGTGTGAAACAAAAAGATGGTTTTTAATATCCTTGAACTTGGAAGGATATTTATAATCAAATGGCAATTTGTTCTGTTAAGGTAGCCACTCAAACCAAAGTAGTTGGATTGTCCATTGGAATAGCTGGCGCACAACCACAGAGCCCTACTGAGATCAACCCAGTGCCAGATTATGCTGCAGGACTGAAATTCCAAAGCCTGGGGTCAGACCACCTGTAATGTCCCAAAGAACTCCTGAGCAAAGAGGAGCAATCCTAATTCTGTCCACTTTTGCACATAGGCCATCTCCAGCAGCAACTGGACATTGGAGCATCTTCAGGGAAGTGATCGTGCCCCTGTATTTGGCACTGGTGAGGCTGCACCTCGAATCCTGTGTTCGGTTTTGGGCCCCTCCCTACAAGAAGGACATTGAGGTGCTGGAGCATGTCCAGAGAAGGGGAACGAAGCTGGTGAAGGGCCTGGAGCACAAGTCTTATGAGGAGCGGCTGAGGGAACTGGGACTGTTTAGCCTGGAGAAGGGGAGGCTGAGGGACAACCCTATCGCGCCCTACTTGTAGTGAGGTGGGGGTTGGTCTCTTCTGCCAAGTAACAAGCGATAGGACGAGAGGAAATGGCCTCAAGTTGCACCAAGGGAGGTTTAGATTGGACATTAGGAAAAATTTCTTTACTGAAAGGGTTGTAAAGCCTTGGAAGAGGCTGCCCAGGGAAGTGGTAGAGTCACCATCCCTGGAAGTATTTAAACGACATGTAGATGAGGCACTTAGGGACATGATTTAGTGGGCATGGTAGTGTTGGGTTGATGGTTGGACTTGATGATCTTAGAGGTCTTCTCCAACCTTAATGATTCTATGATTCTATGATTCTATGATCCTGTGTTTCAGGAATGACCAGATTACCTCACCCTGCACTGAACTCCAGTGGCAGCCAAAGTAGCACACATGTTCACGTTATTTTGTCTAGGTCTGATTGAGCCTGCAGACTCCTGGGAGAGGGTCTTGTCTCTTTACATTTTGTGCCAAGCATGCTGTCAGTGAATAACAGGAAAAACTGGACCCAAGACTGGCTGAAGATAGTGGAGTTGCGAAGTCTGGCACGTGAGAAAGATGCATGGAGAAGATGTAGAACACTGGCCCATTTTCTAATGATTTTCTAATATTCTCACCATCTGATCTTCTCTGTTTGTTTGTTTCACTTTTTAATTACAAAAACAAACTGAAATGAACACTTGCCTGGATCTGTTCCCAGATTTCTCTTTGCAGCTGCTATTAAGAGGAGCACTGCGGAAGCCGCTGCACCAGTTCAAACCAAGAAATAAAGACTTTGTTGCCCCTTGAATGCGGTGTGAGCTTGTATATCTGTGTTCATACAAATAGTTGAGCAAGGGGAGAACACAAAATCACCCATCCCATCCGTTAGCATGCACTAGAGTGTATTGAGTTGTGTATGCATTTGTCGTCTTGTTGTAATTCTAAGGCACTAGCCGTTTGCTCTGATTTTATATCTCATTAGTAGCTTGTCTCCTCTGGGAGACTTTTCTTCAGTCTCAGATCCTTTATCACAAACACCTGATATTCATCTTACATTTTTCCTTTCCTGCCTCAGTGAAATCAGTAACTCAAAATGCTTTCAAATGTTCCTCACAATGCTATTGAGGTATGTAGGGCACTTTACAGACTAATGGAAAAGGATCCCCTATGAGTACTGTCCATACACAGAAATTAAAATCATCAGCATATACAGAGTGATGGCTTACATAGTCACGTCTTCCACTGAGCCCCATGGGCAGTGAAATAAACTCCAGATATAGTAAAGAGCTAAAAAACAAGTAGCATTTTTTTTGCCAAATTGAACATGCAATGGAGGAGCTGAATTAGAGTTTCTGTCTCTTCCCACTCCATCACTACCTTGTCTGAACTCAAAATCCAAGTATCTACATGAAACAAATTTAAGTAATTCTGAAGATTTCCTCACTGACAGGCTATGGAAAAGCTGCCTCTTGGGCTGCAGTGGGAAAAGTCTTTCTCTAATCAAATTGTTACTGATGGATGTTCGGGTGAATGGACTTTTCCTTTCTTTCTTTGTGGGACTGCTCTCATCTCATAGCTCACAAGCAAAAGGGACGGGGAGCTGGACTGGCAAAGCAATAGCATTCCTCTGAGTGCTTTTAATGAGATGGAGCTGGACCAAACCCTGGGTTAACAGCTACTAAGTATTTTTCCATTGCGGGTCTCCAAGCACTTGATAAAGGTACATTGCCCCATTTTGCAGCAGGCTGAACAAGGCACAGAATGGCAGCGTGACCTCGCATCTGAGGAAAAGCAAACATTTCCAAATTCTGCCCCTCCCTCCGCCCCCCAGTCAAA